CCCCAAAACCCCAAAACCCCAAAACCCCAAAACCCCTGCTTTTAGAATATCTATAGAAATATAATAATTAAATTTACAAATATGGAAGTTTGACTCCCAGACCAAAATCACTTAGAAGATATCACTGAAAAGGTTCTCCAAGTGATGCACAGCCATGGAGTCAGCACGCATTTGCTTTCCGGACTCAGTCAAGACTCAGGGTTCACCAAATTCTGTGCTGGATGGGTCTCCCAGAGATGGAGGCCTGCACAAGAGACTCCCCACATTGGTGACCCAGCTCTGATTTGAAAGCTGGAACAAAAGATTGGGCGGCTTGAAGAGTTGGTCAACAAGACTCGGATTCCTTATCGCAAGGCACTTGAAACAATAGGGGCTTCTGATGCCAAGAACTTGGAATTAAAGCTGACTAAATCAGTATACAAAAATATGACTAACTTGTTAAAGACTTTTAGTGCTCTTACAAATTTGTTCTTAAATGCAAGTGGACCTAATCATCTAAATATTATCAAAAGAACATAAACCTCAATCATTACAAAATCAAAATTTTGAGGCTCCAATTTGTTTCAAAAGAGAATACTGTCATAAATAAGTTTCTCCGTGTATCTTTTCCTAAATGGTGCAAGTTTTTACATTTCATACAGACTCAAGGCAATGAAGCTGGTGAGGCAAAACAAGGTATTGGGTTCTACTTGAATGCACTTTCAAAAATATCTCATAGAATCACAACTGAAGTTTCATTGAGAGGATTCCAATTTAACACCAATCATCTCAAAAGAATATTTAGTATCTTCAAACACATCGAAAGGTTTGAGCTACGAGGTTGCAAATTAAATCTTATGACTTCTCCAGATTTATCAAGAGCACTTGAGAACTGTACTCTTTTGGAGATCACTTGTGACTTCAGTGAAACTAATGAAAATGAAAGTGAAGATAAGAAATTGCAAAGTTGAGAGAACTTTATAAGATCCTTAGCTAAATCTGATGACTTGAAGAGTAGTCTAAAAGCTCTAAACATTAGTAATAGCATGCTCTCAGACAGTAGCATTTCAATACTGAATCATAAGTATGAGTTCTACGATCTTGACATTTCATATTAAACTCTGCTGGATACGACATTATTCAATGAGACCAGACTCTTTGCGTCTCCAAAGATAGTATTAACGACAGAATGGTAAACCAATCTATTGTTGAATTATAATAGTTTCAATACTTTTCTGAGTGATTGGGGTTTTGGGGTTTTGGGGTTTTGGGG